TCTCGCGCAAGAAGGTGCTAGCGACGTCGGGTGAGGAGAATTGTACACATATAGGCCTCGGCGTTGTAGTTTCACTCCTGTCTGGGTTATATGTACCAAGTCTTTTGGTGGTACGTATGTGGGGTGCCTCGTAGATCACTCCAGCAGCTTTCAGTGCATCTTCCACCTGAGTTCGGACCGTGGGCCTGCTACCAGTATCAGCTCCGTTGAGAATGTTCGATGAATCATCCGGCTCGGCGACGCCAAAGACGACGACCCTTGAGTTGGACTTGTAGTCAAAGCTGGGCTCACTTCTTTCGATGCGAGCATGGGAGTTGGTGGTCATGATTCTCGGTGGCGATCTTGGGTTCTTGGTTGTTGGTCTCGCCTCCTGGTTGGGTGCTTGCTGTTTGTTCGACTGATTAGCCATGTTGTCGAGGAGCTTGTACATACTCTGCATCATGTTGGACTGCGCGTCAATTTTCCTGTCCAAGTTAGTGACACAGTCGTTGAGCTTATCAGTGATGGTATCCAAGCGCTCCTCGTTATTACTAATTAGAGTGTGCAGATCGGCCACGCTGATCTTCACTCTATCCTCCATACCCTTCATCTTGTTCTCCAGGAGCAGTAGGCAATCTTTCACACCAACAGGATTGCCGCTTTGGTCGTTCGTAACGGCCATGTCCTGTTTCATAGAGACGACGGCACTTAGCTCGGCGATCTGTTGTTGGAGGCGAGCGATGTCACTTTCGGTGACGGGCATAGGCAACGATGAACGAATCAACTAAGATCTTGAGCCAGATGGCTCTTACAGGCTTCGAGATAGTCGTCTTCCTGTGCTGTACGGTTTTGTGCAGTACACGGTGTATCTCTTATCGAGATCTACTTAGAGAACATAGAAGAGCTCCTTAGACGTTTCATCAGGTAGTGGAGTTTTTCTGGGCCCGTGTGTCCATACACCGTGTGGTCATCATGTCGCTTTAGCTTAAAGCCTTTAAGCGACTCGCTTATATGGTTTGCATCTATTCGAAGCAAGGTCTTGGACGATGGATATGATTGTTCCTTCGCAATGAACCATAGCCTATGGTCATATTAGAGGCTTGGGATCGGCAGATGAACTAAATGCGGTGTGAAGTCACAACTAGTTCAACATGAGCGAGCAAAGGTTTAAGTTGATTGATCGCGGTTGAATAGACTTTGACGGCAACTTTGAATTTGACGCAAATACAAAAATGGCTTGCACTATGTTTTTAATTGGGTGGCGATGTTTAAATTGAGTTATAATCTATCTAAAGTGATCGGCGAAAGTTTTTAGTTGATCGAGAAAAGGTGTAGATCTTGGAGAAATGTTTATGCACAATCACCGACTAAAGACTTCACTTCCGAACAATTGTGCTCGAACCGGCTAATAATTATCAGTTTGTGCCTAATAAACGACAACAAAAAACAAACAAAAAGAGACAGAGATAAATAGACAACAAGAGACCTGGCCGCCAACGATTAGCTGAAACAGTGTTGCTGTGACTCGGTACAAAGTACGGCATACAAAGAGACACCGTCGTAGCTATCTTCCGATAGCCGAGAATACATGAATACGATGGTCCAACGACCAGAGCTATGCTACTGGCTGACGTTGAGATACAGAGCGCGCCGAGGGCTCCTCTCAATCCGGCCGCACGCACGTGTCACGTTGGACAGACAGTTTTTACCGCGACAAGAGGCTGCGTTCTGGAGCATCATGCGCGTGTGCTTTGTGGTTTGTTTTATCTCTCAAGTAAATGTAACCAATGCATTTCTCAGCATTATGGGCGCAGAAAATTCTGGAAACCCCTCAATGTTCAATGATTCATCCAAATCCTCCAATATCCATTTTCGCAGCAGAAGCTCCATTCTTTGATCATCAAAGGAGCGGATGAAGAGCATTCATTTCGCACACTTGGAGGAACAGCGTTGGAAGGTTTCTCCCATCGGCGAAGGCGCAACTGTGACGAGGACTGTCACAATCGCTGTGGCATAGGACAGCTGGAGCTGGTATGCTAATAGCATTCGAGGAAAAGCCTGCGTTATATCAGAACTCGAAGGTTGGGGGTTTCATCAGCCTCACGGCCTCCAAAAAAGCCTTACAAAATACATCAGTTCCCGACGTTGACATTGGCCACTAGCAACATATAGATTCTCTGGATAGAACTTGATTACATAGTACGCCACAGCGATACGAGATCTACGACTGCTGTACAACGCGTACCATGCCGAACTTCGGCAGCCGAAGAGACAGTCTCTTTCCGATGGAGTTCATCGACATGGAGCGTCACGCACCTGCGTGCTCCATCCCGCGGTTCATTTCTCAGCCGATGAGTCAGTTCATCGGGCCACGGACGACCTCGTTTTTGGAGGATGTATTTCGCTCTCATCCATTCAACATTATCATCCCTATAACTTTGAGCGACATATGTGAATTGAATTGCCGCAAGTATTCGCTGGTTGTAGGAAAATCTGCTTATCCGTTAGCTTTTTTGGTAAGCAAAATGATCAAGCAAACTATCCTCAGCATCCTCTTAGTTCGTAGAGCTATCAGTGGTCAAGACGTGGCGCCTCCTATTGGCTCATACCATCAATATGATCCGGTCACCGGTCTCTCTAAAGACGACCTATTTGTCACTGTCGATCGCGACGAGAAGGGAGACATGATTATCTCGCTTTACATCACCAACGACCAAGACAGCGGAAGCCCTAAAGTTGACCAGTATATTAATTATCAGATCAACGAAGTCCCCCTCAAGTGGAGGAAGAGCTCAGGTGACCTCTACAGCGTGGACTATAGCTCCCCGTTCTCTAAGAGCACGGTGTTTCCCTATAGTGCTATCGATTTTAAGCTAGACTTTTATTCTTCTTGGTGGGGGTTCATCTTAACTCACCGACCGACTGGTACCGAGTATAAGCTCGTAATACCGGGGCTACCA